TTCCTTTTATCTTGCCCGAGTCAGTGCTCAGCTCTACATTTCAAATGGATCTTTCCAGGTTCCAAATCTGACCATCCAGCCGGGTAGCGAGGCGGTAATCGACGTAGAAGTGGATGCTGACCCTGCTGCACGGTTTGTACTTTGGATTTTGAGGCCCTTTACCTCTTCAGGAATTGAGAAGTCCTCTCCGGTTGCAGGTTCACGTGGTTCGTAAACGGACGTGAATTCCGCGAGTCCACAAACGGTGTCGAATTGTTCTATCCAAGTATGAATCGATGTGTCGTCAAATTTGCGTTCCCCGTTTCTGGGGAATACAAAGTGGTCGCATCGAATGTTCACGGTTCGGCAATGAGCAGCGGATACATAGAAATTCACAGAGGTACAAATTTTCTATGAAACTTTGAAACTTGTGAGTCTGTGGTTGATTCAGCGCAGCAGAAGAAGATAGCGCAGTTGAAAGGCATTTGTTCAAAAACTCACACCAGTAGTACCACTCATCTTGGTAGGGGTGCACTAGGGATGAAATCAAGTTATCCTGGAAAGGCTCAATCCCTTTTCCAGGATAACTTGATGGGCGGAGACTTACAACAGTCACAACTTTGGTGCGCGCCTTAATTCGGAACGGTAAAGGAAGAGCGCTTTTGAGGAAGGCGCAATGCTCAGAGTCTCCACTCATCCTTTCGTCGTGATTTGGAGGTGAGAAAGGATGAAGTCGAGTTTGCCAAACTTAATGTGGATGGAGACGAGTCTACCAAATTTAGGAGAGCAAAATAGCAGACATCAGCACGGGGCGAAAGTCAATTGCGCTCAGAAAGAGCCATTTGAGAAAACCTGGTGCCTTGGCACTCCTACCTGACCATAAAGAGGCTTCGTGACATGGAACTGGCGCAGGACTTCCCACCACGATCACTACCTCTTTCCCCACGCAGGACTTTGATTATCACGCGTGGCTGCAGACTGTATGAGTATCACCCTTTCCCAGCTCTTTTCAGTTGGTTGCTCAGTAAAATATGTGTGGTGGGCAAAATTAGTAAACAAGTAAGTATCATAACAAAACAAAATCGGTAGAGGTTGACGATTGGTTACATCCTTGAGGATTTTCTTCTCAGGAATTCCAATGAAGAATATCGTATGGTTTAGAGAGTTCCGAAAGACTATCGAGGGGTGATACCAGAAATTTGTTGATCAGGCCGATTGGAACTGGTTTGATATGTGCCTCCCATTCAGAGTTCTGAAAGCGTACAGATAGCTTTCAGATTATTTGGAAGTGGTTTCCGATATCACCTAAAAAAGTCTACGTAGTACTGAAAATGAAAGCTCGGCATCGCCGTGGTCAGGGTGGGCTTCTCCATTTAAGCTGCGGAATTAGTACATCCTCCACCCTTGCATGCAGGACC